GAGCTTCATTCAGGTGGCGGAGGGCACAGCCGGGGCCAGGCTCAGGCTGGAGAGCAGCAGCATGTGGCTGGCTCTCAGCTTGTCCCTGTGACTTGGACTGCACCTGCTTGGTGCAGAGACGACAGCTTCCCAGAGAAACACGGGCTTGCCAAACCTGGCCCTCTCGGCAGGGGGAGGGCCAGGAAAGGAGGCCGTGGAAGTGCTAAGGGGTGGGCGGGCTGAGTCCCCAGGATGGAGGTGACAGGACCCTGGGAAATGGCCAGGGCTGGGTGGAGTGAGGGGTTAATCCTCGCCCTACTGGGCTCTTCGGCAGCCAACTCCACGCTGACCTCAGAGCTGCAGGAGGCGGAGGTGTTTATCATGGACAACAAGAGGTGTGACCAGATTTACCGGAAAGAGTCCCCCATCTCCCACATCCTCCCCCTTATCTTGGGGGACATGATCTGTGCCACCAATTATGGAAAAAACCTGTGCAATGTGAGTTTGGGAAGGTTCTGAGGGCTCTCCTGTTGGGAAGGACTCCCTGGTGAGGGGAAGGTCCCCAGGGAGGGGTTAGCTTGGCCTCCCTCTGTCACCATCCCTAGGTAGTGCTCTGCTCCCATCCCTCTTCCCCTGTGACTTTGATTTTACCTAATATTCTGGGGCAGGTCCCCAACTCTGGCGCTGAAGCAGGACCCTGGGTAGTGAGATCCTGAAGGAAGCGAAAGGATCTTCCAAGTGGAACTCCGAGTGGGCGTTCTGGGTCCCCTGATTCCTGGTCCCAGCTGGGCCCAGAGCCTCCGTCACGCCTCTCTCTTTGCCTAGGGGGACTCTGGGGGCCCATTGGCTTGTGAAGTGGAGGACAGGTGGATTCTGGCTGGGGTGATGTCCTGGGAAAAGGCCTGTGCCAAAGCACAGAACCCAGGTGTGTACACACGCGTCACCAAATACAGCAAATGGATCAAGAACCAAATGAGCAACAGGGCTCTCTCAGGCCCCTGCACCTCCGTCTGGCTCCTTCTCCTGACCTGGCTGCTGCCTCTCCAGATGGGCCCCTGATCGCCCCCTCCAGAATGGGGCCAGATCAAGGTTAGACCAAGGTCATGTGTCCCTATTCAACAAGAGTCAAGGTGGGGACAGAGTGGCCCCTGGGAGGCCTGGTCCTGCTTGGGCATCCCATAGGGAGGGACGTGGTGGATGACAAGGCCTTGGCTGACGAGGAGAAGGGACATGTGGCCTTGAGGGCTCTGGAATTGGTGCCCAGAACAGTAGGGATTAAATTTGTGCAAATGTAAGCTGATTCTGTTCTCTTTTCTGGGTGGCCCTGGTTGTTAGGGGTGGGTGGGTGGGAGGGCAGGGTCTCCTGGAATTAATTCTACCAGGTGGGCTGATGTTTTTTGCTATATCACTAGTGCTGGGGCACAGGGAAAGGGCTTGAGGCCTCAGTTTTCTCATCTGTGAAGTGGGCATGCTGTAAGGGAGCACTCCCCGTAGGCTGACAAAGGAAGGCCCTACATACAATGCTCCAAGTCAGCTTTTACTTTTCTAAAGACAATATGTTTTTATTGATTTCAGGAAGGAAGAGAGATAGAAACATCAGTGATGAGAGAGAACCACGGATCGGCTGCCTCCTGCACACCCCACACTGGGGATCGAGCCTGCAACCCGGGCACACGCCCTGACCGGGAATGGAACCCTGACCTCCTGGTTTGACACTCAATCACTGAGCCAGGCCGGCTGGGAAGCTTTTACTTTTTTTCAGTGGCATTTTAACATACTAATTACAAAAGTATTACGTGTTCATGGCTACATTTTTCTTTACATTAAAAACTATAATAGCCGAGTATGAATATAATAGCTGAATATGTGACTTACTTTAAAAGTTCAGAAATACATGAAAAGATTCCCCCTCTCATCTATCCCACCACAGTGCTGCTCCCTTACCCAGAAGTAATCATCAGTAGCATCCTTAAATAATGTATCTTTATGATTTTAAATATATGTATTATTCATAGACTACATTAAAAAAAATAGATGCCTTAAAAGCCATGCCAGTCCCTAGAGCAATCACTGCCTGGGTTCTGTGGGATGTAGTGGAGGTGATTTAACCCACACCTGTTTTGTTTTAAAAATATATTTTTGTTGATTTCAGAGAGGAAAGGAGAGGGAGAGAGAGATAGAAACATCAATGATGAGAGAGAATCATTGGCCAGCTGCCTCCTGCACGCCCCACACTGGGGATCGAGCCCACAACCCGGGCATGTGCCCTGACTGGGAATCGAACTGTGACTTCCTGGTTCATAAGTCGATGCTCAGCCGCTGAGCCACGCTGGCTGGGCCCACACTCATTTTTAGGCTGTTTCTGACTTGTCAGCACTGGGGCAGCCACGAACACCCTCCTGCGTGCATGGGGGGGAGGGGGGGCATTCTAAGGAAACAGAAAGCTAATCATTTTGGACGAATACTATCAAATTCATCCCTTCCCCAAACTGAGTCAGTGTACACGTACACATACGGTACATGAGAATGGGTTTCCCCTTTTGCTAAAAGTGGGTATCATTCTTCTTCAAAACCTGTGTCCATCCAATGGTACAAAGTTATAGCATTGTGCTTTTTTTAAAAAAGTGTTTTCTCATGTGTTTATTGAAAAACACATGCACCTTTTCTCTAGTAAATCCTCTGTTCAATACTGTCAACAGTAAAATAAAAAATAAAAATTTAAATCCTCTCTTCACAGACTTTGCCAATTTAAAAAATTGGGTGGCTTATCTTTTCTGATGGAAGGTCTTTATCTTCTCTGAATATTAAGGCTTTGTTGATTTTTACAGATATTTTACTTTTGAAATATGTGGAATGGATGGGTAATTTTCCATAAAGACTTTTAAAATTATTACAGAGTCGAATCAATCTGGCGAGTTTTGTGCCTTGCTCCCGATGGCCTTCTCCATCTCCAGATGACAAAAGCTATCTTCCTGACTTTTTAAACATTTTGATTAATTTATTTTTTATGTGTAACTCTGTAATCCATTTGCCATTTCTATTTATGTATGGTGTGAGGTGGAGAATCTATTTCCAACTGGAGGACTGACTCCGTTGACACTATTTTTTGTAGAGTCCTACTGATTTGAAGGTCATTTGGTTGCTTAGGCTTTTATATATATAGCCTATTTGAATGTTTATCCTAATGAAATCTCAGTATATTCATGGGTATGTTTTTAAAATATTTATTATTTGCTCACTGATCTGTCTGTCCCTGGGTTAGTGCTGTACTGTTTCAGTCTGCTTTATGTATGTTTTTTAAACTGTAGCAAAAGCTCTCCTCTTCTTTAAAAAAAAAAAATAGCCTAAATCCAGATTTTGGTCTATTTCTTAGCGGTTTACAAAAAGTCGTCTGGTGTACTTTTGTAGGTTAGCTTTTTGGTATCTGTCTTTCCCACATATATTAACCCAGTTCCTGGTCATCAGTCCACACTCTGTGCCCTGCTGCTCATGTCCTTAGGGGGAAGCAGTCACACACTCAGCTCTCAGGAGGGACAGCATTGAGCGTCTGCCCCCTGGTGGTCAGTGCACATCATAGCAACTGGTCGAACAGTTGTTCGGTCATTTGGTTGCTTAGGCTTTTATATATATAGATAATCTGCTGATTTCTGAGAGGTTTACCACAGGGATTAAGACATTATCTATTTCTTCTTGCAGTTATAATTCTTGCTTTATGTTTCAAAGCTGTGTTGTTAATAGTGCAAGGTTCATGCATACTGTACCATCTCAGTGGGGCATATACCCTATCAATGTAAAATGGTCCTATCTAATATTTGTTCTTTTTCAACAATCTGGCTCATATCATAGAGTTCATTTCTAATTCTACTGTTCTAGTTGATTGGGGTATAATTTTATATTTTGTACATGTTTCCTACAGATTTTCCTTGGGTTTATTTTGCACCTTTTATAGTTTCTTGATTTGAACATTTAATTTATTTTCATTATTTCAAATTTCAAGTAATTTGGTTTATTTGCTTTGTCTTTTGTTATTAAATCCCTGCTTCATTGCATCATGGTAAGAAATGTGGGCCAAGCGACTTGTACTCGTAGGGAAGTTACTGTGGTTTCCTTAGTACTCGAGTGTGCGGTTGATTTTTATAGATATTTCATTCCCCAAAGACAAGAGTTGAAGACTCTCCCACTGCAAGTGAGGGTTTGGTTTCTTATGCAGCGCTGGCTGGCTTTGCTTCATTTGTTAGATGTCATGTTATTGATGAACAGAACTTTATGATGTTATATAGTCATTGGAACTTTTATCTCTTTCCAACATAAAATGACTTTCTTGTTCTGGTTAGAGAGTAACATTGCCATTTCTATTTTTGCTTGCATAGACATAATATTTTTTGCCCATCTTTTTACTTTCAACAGCTTCATGTCACTTTGTTTTCGGTGGGTCTTTAATAAGTAGCATGTGATTAGGGGTTTTTTCTACCCAATATAAGAATCTTTTATATTCACCTTGGTGGCGATAATGGATATGCATTCTTATGCAATTACCTTGTGTGGGTTTTTCTGATTGATTGTTTCCCCTCAAAGTATTTCCCTCCCTACCCCCCCGCCCCCCCCCCCCCCCCCCGTTTCCTCTCAAAAAGGAAATTTGATTTTAGGAATAATCATTTCCTTCCTTCTCTACGAGGTTTCCCTACAAATAGTTGTTTTTGCCTGTTTTTGAATTTCATACAATATGGGCCTCATGGTGTCTGGCTTCTTTCACTTGAAACTATGTTTATGAGCTTCATGTGTTGCTGCATGTCCATTGCCCTGGCTGTTGAGGACTCTGCCTCCATCCTGCCCTGAGGACACTGCCTGACAGCACGGCCTGTCCTTCCCGCTGCCCGTGTCCATGGCGCACACGGGGGTGGAGCTGCAGCTGTGGGAGGCACTCGGTCTGCTCTCCTACCTGATTCTGAAGTTCCATGGTGGCCCCAGCCCATCGCCCCGCAGTGTGTAAACAACCTTGTTGCCCCGTGTCCTGGGCAGCACTGGGGATGGGGTGGGCAGTGTGAGGAGCGTGGGATCCTGGGAGGGGCCTCCGTGGAGTTGGGGGGAAGGCGCCCAGAGATGTCATTTCTTCTGTGGACTCATGAAGACCCAGGTGTGCACGCTGCTTCCTCTCAGGAGGGACAGCATTGAGCGTCTGCCCCCTGGTGGTCAGAGGAGCACCTGGCCTCCCTCCACCCAGTTGTTCTCCTGAAAATGCAGAGCCTGGGAGAAAGGAAACCTCTAGATCCAGCTCAGCCACCCACATCAGGAGTGAGCCATCCCCTTCTCCATGCCTCACTTCTGGGGGGTGTGTGTGTGTGTGTCTTGAAGGCGCTGGGACTGGGCACGAGGGGTGCGTTATAGGCCGGGCACCATTACAAGCCAGGTACCTGGTGCTGTCACAGGCTCGGATGGGCACATGGGGGTACTGTCAAGGCCCAGGCTGAGCCCAGGAGGCCCTGTCCCAGGCCAGACGCCAGCACTGCCCCAGGCTCAGGTCAGGCCCAGGAGCACCATTCTAGGGAGGCACCTGGCAGTAGTGTCACATCGTGCCTGGGCGGGGCCTCGCCAAGACCACACCGGCTCCTTTTATGTGAGCGTCCTGATGCTGCCCAGCTGGGGGAGCCCCAGCCTTGGAGCAGAGGCCCCCCTGGCTACCCTGAGTAAACAAACCATGAGTTCTAGAATCCCTGCACGTTGGAGATGCCTGTCCCCAGATCCACGATGGGGGCCAGCGGCGCCGGGCACCAGCTGTCCATGGCGTGCGGGCTGGGAGACCTTCACGGCCTCTCATCTCCATTATCTTTTGCCAGAATTGGGAACCCACTCATAGTGGAAGGTAGGGCTTTGGGGACATGGCACAGGGGCAGGAAGGAGGGCTTCAGGGACATGAGACGGGGCAGGAGGGATCTGTGTGCCTGGGTGTCTGTGTTGGCTGTCCTCACGCCCGATGGATGCATCTCCAGCAGACTGCATGGTGTGCCACACCTGGGGACCCAGGTAGTGTCCAGTCATCCTGGTTTGCAGGGCGACATGGACACGAAGGAAGAGCCTTATTAAGAATTGGGGGATGCCCTCGCCGGTTTGACTCAATGGATAGAGTGTCAGCCTGCGGACTGAAGAGGCCTGGGTTTGCTTCCCAGTCAGGGCACAGGCATGGGTTGCAGGCTCAATCCCCAGCAGGGGGCATGCAGGAGGCAGCCAATCAATGATCCTCTCTCATCATTGATGTTTCTATCTCTCCTCCCGCTCCCTTCCTTCTGAAATCAATAAAAATATTTTTTAAAAAATAAAAATAAAAATTGGGGGACAAGCTACCACCCGTGGAGCAGATGAGCTTGTCTGGGAGGTGCACTCTAGGCTTGCGATGACGCGGTGTGTGAATGACTGCTCACCTACAGAAGGCCCTCATCTGAGGCTGACGTCACACCACTTGGGGAGGTGGGCTTACCAGTACTCCCACCTCACCATCGGAAACCAGGCCCAGAGAACTTCAGGGACCTGTGGAGCCAGCATCCAATACCAGTTTTCCAGTAGACTCTCTTTTAAAAATGTATTTTATTTTATTGATTTTTAGAGAGAGAGGGGGAAAAGAAAGATAGAAACATCAGTGATGAGAGAGAAACATCAGTCCGCTGCCTCCTGCATGCCCCATGCTGGGGATTGGCCCGCAACCTGGGCTTGTGCCCTGACCGGGAATCGAACTGTGAACTCCCAGTTCATAGGTCAACGCTCAACCACTGACCCACACCAGCCGGGTTTTCAGTAGACTCTTTGGGGGTGAAAAGTTTGGGGTCCCATGTGACAGAAGGTCTCTGGGTGCCCACCCAAACTGACCACGTGTGTTCTTGTGGGGCAGCCCTGGCTTGGGTCACCTGGCAGCTCCTGTGTGCGTGTGGCAGTGGCTCCTCGTGACGGCTGCGAGGCGGCTCCCCTTCCTCTACAGCCGAGGGCTGCCTTTGCCGCTGTCTACACGGGCCGGGCCGGCGTGGCCCCTCTCTGTCTCTTTCCTCAGAGCCCTGGTTCTGGGGCTGTGGTCAGACCAACCTGTCCTGCAAGATGGTGAAGGGGAAGCTGGTGGAGGCAGGCAAGTGGCCGTGGCAGGTGAGCATCCTGTTCATGGGCATGTACATCTGCAGTGGCTCCATCATCCACCACCAGTGGGTCCTCACGGCCGCGCACTGCCTGGAGAGGTCAGTCGGGGGTGGCCGGTCCGGGGGGGCCCTGGTGAGGCTGGGGTTCTGGGAGTCGCAGGGTTACTGCTGGAGATCTGCCTCCTACCCACGGCCCTGCAGGTCCCTGGATGCCAGCAAATACTCGGTGATTGTGGGAGCCCAGCACCTCCCAGCAAATGGCACTCAGCTCCCCCTCGTTCGACTGGTGACTCACGAGAATTTCAAGGACCTCATCTCCGATGACATTGCCCTCCTGAAGCTCAAGGACCCCATCCTCTGGTCACCCTTTGTCCAGCCCATCTGCCTCCCGACCACCAAGCTCGTGCCACCTATTGGAGCCTCATGCTGGGCCATTGTGTGGGGACGGCCATCCGTGAAAGGTGAGTGGAGGCAGTTTCCAAAACACGTGCCTCTTAGAACACGTCACCACGGGCCCCTCCCTCCCCCCTCCCCCTCCTCCCTCCCTCCCTCCCTCCCTCCCTCCCTCCCTCCCTCCCTCCCTCCCCTCCTTCCCTCATCGACCTGTCAGCAAACATTTCCTGAGCGTCTACACATGCTGCACACTCTCCCGACCTCTGTTGATAGCAAAGTGCTCTTGTGGAGGAGACACTCCTGGTCTGCATGGGCCTCAATCCCCAAGGTCAAGTCCAATGCTGAGGCATCACCTGGCAGCAGGGCAGGGAATTCATCCCTGGGTGTCAGTGGGCTTCCCTGTGCGCAGGTGGCACAAGGGCCCTGTCTAGGAGGCACTGAACCATTTGGCAGCCACGCAGCTGTGACCTTGAGAGACCAATGGCCCCTATTAGCGCCACTCTGGGGTTCTAGCATCTAAGAGCCTTTGTGGGTCCTGCCTTCCCGGGGGTGGCACTCTGAGCTCCAGGGCATCTCCACCTCAGCCCCTCGCCCTCATGGGTCCCTGAGGTCGTCTCTCCATGTCCTCTCGGTGCCTGGACGTCACTGAGCCCTTTGGGAGACGTTTCCTTCCTTTTCTTAATGAGCTGAGCTTTCTCGAAAGTCAGGCAATGGGCTGGGCCTTTATAAATTACACCCTCCCCCAAAATAAATAAATTATCCCCCCAGGAGATGGCCCTGCCCCCACATCAGGGATGCAGATAACCCCAAGGTGAAGTTGTGCCAGATTATTGAAGGGTGCTGAGGCAGAATTTCTCTCTCTCTTTAGTGCCCCCAAGGCCCCCCTACAGTCTTCAGGAAGTTTCTGTCAAGATAATAAAAAGTGAGATCTGCAATCAGCAGTATCAGTTCCTCTTCTTGAAGGGCCAGAAGAAGTTCATCGGGAAAGATATGCTGTGTGCCAGCTTAGAATGGGGCGTAGACTCTTGTCAGGTGCGAAGTGGATGGCCCAGGGCGGGGAGGGGACTTTCAGGGGCCATGCCTTCCTTTAACATGGCACTGGGAGACCTCACCCGAGTCTCCCTTTCCAGGGCTTCAGCTTCCCAGTCGGTAAAAGCAGGTGACAGTACTCTGCTCCTGTCCACAAGAATGGTGGAGATAGCAGGACCTCCCAGGTCATTTGCACTAGTCTGAACATCAGTCAGTACACGCTTGGATCTGAGCCAGGTGCTGGCAGAACCAGTTTTGCATAAATGGCCTCATTCTGTAAACACACTTCTGCCTCTTGCATCTTCTGTTCAACATTGTTTTTTGAGATTTAGCCATAGTGATACGTGCAGCTAATTCATTAATCAGCTCTATCCACAATAGTCACTTGGATGAATATGCCACAGTTCATCCTTTCTACCACATTGAAGTAGTTTCCAGTTTTTTCATATCACAGATTCTGCTCCTCTGAATATTCTTACACTCATTTCCCTATTGACATGCTCCAGAATTTTCCAAGGGCTGCACCCTGCAAAGAACTGGTGGGTCAGAGGTTTGCATTATTTTACAAAAACCTGTATCATTGCCCTGGCCGGTTTGGCTCAGTGGATAGAGCGTTGGCCTGCAGACTGAAGGGTCCCGGGTTCGGTACCGGTCACGGCATGTACCTCGGTTGCAGGCTCAATCTCTGGGCACATGGGGAAGGCAACCAATCGATGTGTCTCTCTCACATCAGGTTCTTTCTCTCTGTCTCTCCCGCTCCCTTCCACTCTCTAAAAATCAACGGGAAAAAATTCTCATGTGAGGATTAACCAAAAAATTTTATATCGTTTATATCTATAGCTATACAGAGAACCATTTTTTTCTAATTTACAAAACTTTTCAATGACACAGAAGAGTGTAAAACTTTTTAAATGATCATAAACCTGCCATCAAGAGAAATAACAGCCGTTACCTTTGGGTTGATCGATGCTGTTGTAACATTATTCTTATGTTTTGCACAAAAAGAAGAGGGGTCGGTGTGTATTTCCAGTGGCTCACTGTGCAAGCCAGGACTGCAGTAGACCCTCCCACTGCCTCCCTGATGCTCCATCTTCCCCTCACAGGTTAACTCTGGCAGCTCCCTGGTCTGCCAAGTGAACAAGACGTGGGTCCAGATGGGGGTAGAGAGCTGGAGCTTCAGCTGTAAGCAGCACCACTTCCCCAACATCTACACCGGCACCTCCCACTTCACCCAATGGATCAAGCAGCAGATCACGGACGTCAAGTTCATCAGCAGGGCCCACCCTGCCTTCCTGAGCCCCGCCTTGTGCACTGGCTACATCCTGCTGGTCTCCTTGGGCTCCCTGTGGCTCCTGTGAGCAGCGTTTCCAGGGGTCATTCTGGGAGCTGGAGCCGAGGCTGCTTCTCCCTGCCCTCTGCCCGCCCTCAGAGAGGTGGGGCCTGGAGGCCTGCAAGACACAGGGGCAGAGTGCCCTTGGGGGAGGGTCCCAAGCCACTGGCTTTCAGTTGTTCAATGAAGATGCTTTTGCACTTTTTGCCACTTGAAGTCATCATCTTTCTTCTTGATTCTGGCTGGAACCCTCAGAGATAGCCCTTCCCCACCCCCAGGTCCCAAGGCCTTGGCCTGGGTCTCTGACCAAGGGCCTTCCTGCAAGGGTCAGTCTCTTCCCAAGACACACATCCCAGACCTGCCCTGTGGACCTTGTTTCAGAAACGGCCTCTCCCAGCCCTGAGGGTCCCCTGATTCTACAAAATCTGGCCAGTTTCTCTCTGCCCGCAGGGGTGGGTGATGGGGGGCAGGGGAGGGCAGGCAGAGCGCTGCCTGGGTGATGTGTGTGAGGGGATGCACACCAGCTGCCTCAGTGACCCCATCAGGCTCTGGAGAGCGAGGACTGGCTGGCCCAAGCCGGCCTGGCTGAGGGCAGAGTCCCGCCCAAGTGGGGAGGGCCGTGGGGTCCCTCAGACCTGGTGGGGCTCAGGTTCCGAGTGCACACTCCCTGAGCCCCGGGGGCCCCAGGACGGTGGTGGGTGTGACCTGCTGTCCTCAGAGACGAGGGCCCTGATGGCCAGCCTGAGTCGGTGCCCCGGCAGCAGTCCGAACGTCCTGGCGCGGTTCCGCGTTGGCCTTGCTTGTCTGAGGCCAGGCTTGTCCAGCAGCTTTGACCCACAGTTTCTCATCGGCCTCCCCCAGACTGCATGTTGGATGTTTTCTCCATCTACGTCGTGGAGTCATCAAAACGTCCCCTAATTCCAACACAGGAAGTGGCCCCCTGCTCCCGAAGGCCTGTGGCGCCGTCACCGTGTCTGCGTGTGGAAACCTCACCCGAGCGCCTGTCCCGCGCCGATGGAGCTGCGGGGGAAGGAAGGGCGCTGGCCGTGGCGGGCGGCGGGGGGCGGGCGAGCGCTGCTCTGAAACGTGCGATCGTTAAGGGTCTTTACTGAGCCAGTTCCATCAGCTCATTCCAGGAACCGGGCGAAGCCCACGGGAGTCCAGTCCGCAGGCTGGAGGGAGGGGCCGCCTGGAAACCCGGGTATCGCCCCAGGGGAGGCATGAGGCCGAACCCGCCCGGGAGTAGGGTCGGTAGGAGGTGGGTGGCAGGTGCAGAGCCAGGAGGTGCAGGAACTGGCCAGGTGAGCTGAGCGGCTCCAGGAGACCATCTGGCCAAGGGGAGTGGGGGAACCAGGCGGGTAGAGGCGGGACGCGAAGAAATGGACTCTTCCCAGTGCCCAGTCGGGTAGGTGTGGGGAGGCCGCTGGGGGGCGCCCTGGGGGGAGACGCGGGAGCATCGCTGCGGGCCGCTGGGGGGCGCCCTGGGGGGAGACGCGGGAGCATCGCTGCGGGCCGCTGGGGGGCGCCCGGGGGGGAGACGCGGGAGCATCGCTGCGGGCCGCTGGGGGCGTCCTGGGGGAGAGGCGGGAGCATCACTGCGGGCCGCTGGGGGCGTCCTGGGGGAGAGGCGGGAGCATCGCTGCGGGCCGCTGGGGGCGTCCTGGGGGAGACGCGGGAGCATCGCTGCGGGCCGCTGGGGGCGTCCTGGGGGAGAGGCGGGAGCATCGCTGCGGGCCGCTGGGGGCGTCCTGGGGGAGACGGGGGAGCATCGCTGCGGGCCGCTGGGGGCGTCCTGGGGGAGAGGCGGGAGCATCACTGCAGGCCGCTGGGGGGCGACCTGGGGGAGACGGGGGAGCATCGCTGCGGGCCGCTGGGGGGCGCCCTGGGGGGAGACGCGGGAGCATCGCTGCGGGCCGCTGGGGGCGTCCTGGGGGAGAGGCGGGAGCATCACTGCGGGCCGCTGGGGGGCGTCCTGGGGGGAGACGCGGGAGCATCGCTGCAGGCCGCTGGGGGCGTCCTGGGGGAGAGGCGGGAGCATCACTGCAGGCCGCTGGGGGGCGCCCTGGGGGAGAGGCGGGAGCATCGCTGCGGGCTGCTGGGGGGCGTCCTGGGGGAGAGGCGGGAGCATCACTGCGGGCCGCTGGGGGCGTCCTGGGGGAGAGGCGGGAGCATCACTGCAGGCCGCTGGGGGGCGCCCTGGGGGAGAGGCGGGAGCATCGCTGCGGGCCGCTGGGGGCGTCCTGGGGGAGAGGCGGGAGCATCGCTGCGGGCTGCTGGGGGCGCCGCGTCGCTGGGACCTGGCACGGACCGCGCTCACCTCGCACCAGAAGCCCTCGGGCGCCAGTGGGGGGCGCCATCGCCGTCGGAGAGGAGCTGCGCGCAGTTGCCGCTTCCCGGGATGAAGCGCCGGTGCCAGCCGCCCGCCCGCGCCCTGGTCCTGGTCCGGGCCGGCCTCCTGCTCCTGCTGCTCCTGCTGCTCGGGCCGGCGGGTGAGCGCCCCTGCCCTGCCCTACCCCCCACCACCCCCCGCCCCATCCAGGGCCTGTCTCCACCTCTGACCTCCGCACCCTCCACAGGTTGCTCGGGCGCAGGTGACGCCGCCGCAGGGGCACTGCCCAGGGCCGCTCCCCCTGACCCTGGCGCCCCCTGTGCCGCCAGCACCACCTGCCCCTCAGGGGGGCCGCGACTGCCTCGGCAGGTCCCCTCCACCTTGCCGCCGCAGGGCCCCACCACCGCGGGCCCCACCGCCACGGGCCCCCCCACCACGCGGCCGCAGGGCCCCACGGGCCCCACCACCACCGCAGGCCCCACCACCACCGCGGGCCCCACCACCACGCAGAACCCCGCTTCCCACGCCAGCACGGCCTTACCTCTCAGTGAGCGCCGGGAAGGGGGAGGGGAGGGGGAGAGAGAGGGGGAGGGAGAGGGGAGGGTGGGGGATGGGGGTGGGGGTGGAAAGGCCTCAGATCCCAGGACAGAAAGGATGGAGGAGGAGGAGGAGGAGGAGGAGGAGGAGGAGGAGGAGGAGGAGGACGGACAAGCAGGAGTGAGAAGAGAGCAGCCTGTTAACTGAGCACCTACTAGGGCGGGAGGGGGGGGGAGGCACAGGAAGTGGGTGGGGCCTGGGCCTGGGTCGGGGGTGTCCACCTGCTCTTGCCCAGCTGGGGGCGGGGAATTCCCAGGCCCGGGCTGCGGGGTGGGGAGTGGGGGGTGGCGGGTGTCTCCCCTCTGCGCTCAGGGAGCCTCGAGGTGTCTCCTCGAGGACACTCTGACCAGGGCAGCATGCACGCCTGGCAGGAACAGTGGCTTTCAAGGCCTGCGACTGAGTCCCCCCCCCACCCCCCCGAAATAGGCTTATCCTGGAGCTCAGTGTAGACGGTGTAACTCTCACCCACACCCCACACAGGACGCGCCACACCCCACACTCCCACGCAGGACCCGCCTTAGCCTTTGCACATGCAGGCCCTGCCCTCTTCCCTGGGTCACAGCTGAGTGCGCGCCCTCACCACGCTGGGATCAGGGACGTGTAGTTTTGCCTGGCAGGTGCCTGGCCTGGAAGGAGCCTCCTGATTCAAGTCCGGGTCCTGGAGGCCAGTCCGTGCTCCGAGTTGGTCTGCGGCCAGGGCCCTCCCAGGCTGTGTCTGTGCAGCGGCCCACTTTCCTGTTAGGGCACCTGCCTTTCTCTGAACCACAGGAGGGGTCCCCAGAGAGGGAGAGGGTCTGCCTTGGTCGAAGCAGGGGAGTCTGTGAGGGCCTGGCCAGGACCAGGGAGCCAGGACCAGGGGAGCAGGACCAGGGGGCCAGGGGCCAGGGGAGTGCTCTGAGGCCCCGCATGGGACAGGGAGAGGGATGCCTGGGAGCTGAGGCCACTGGGGGGGTTGGATGCCCCGGTCCACCTGGGGGCAGCATCTTTACACTCTGACCAGGAGGAAAGGAGAGTCACTGGGGGGTCGGCAGGAGGCTGGAGAGTGGGAGCTGGGGCTGGGGGTGGGGCGGTGCCCGGGGGTGGGGATGCGGCTGTGAGTCCCTCCCTCATCAGGCTCTCCTTCCTCCTCAGCCTGCGGCGCATCCCAGGAGCAGGACCCCACCCTCAGGGACCCAGAGGCCATCGCTCGGCGGTGGCCGTGGATGGTCAGCGTGCAGGCCAACGGCACACACGTGTGCGCAGGCGCCCTCATTGCTGCCCAGTGGGTGCTGACCGTGGCCCACTGCCTGACCCAGTGAGTCGGGGCCTGGTGGGCGGGGAAAGGCATTTGGAGCCACGTGGGCCCCGTCCTCCCACCAGCTGGCCCCTCCGTGGCAGCTGTGCCCCGGCAGAGCCCCCCAGTCCTAGGCCCAGCCTCATCCCAGCTCCCAGCAGGCGGAGCTCAGTTCTACAGTCTTTCCTGGGAGCAGAGCGCTGGCTCCCCCCGGGAGCCTGGGTCCTGAGCCCGCTTCCAAGAAAGAAGGCCCTAATTCTTTCGTGCCACACACCTGGCTTCCCTTACTCCTTCCTTCCTTCCTCGACCAACAGCCCTGATACTCCTTGGCAGCCAGGCCCTGGCCTGGGCACTGGGGCCGGAGAGGACCCATCACTTCCTCAGGTGCTCGCAGGGGCGTCAGTCAGTGTGGGGACAAGAGGGAGGGCATGCCCATGCGCTGGTGCCCGGGGGCGGCCCGAGGGGACGCCCGTGCTGGCCATGAGGGCTGGCCAGTGCAGAATCGTGATGGGCTGTGATCGGGCCTAAGGGTCCACATGCTGGGGAAGGAGGCCCGAGGGCGAGGCCAGGGCCCGTGCAGGGCCTGCCACTTCCTGGGCGCTTCACCGGCCGGGACAGAATCCAGAGAACACTCGTCTAAGGGTCCACATGCTGGGGAAGGAGGCCCGAGGGCGAGGCCAGGGCCCGTGCAGGGCCTGCCACTTCCTGGGCGCTTCACCGGCCGGGACAGAATCCAGAGAACGCTCGGTCCACGTCCCACCTCCGCCACTTCCCGCTTGTACCCCTGAGCTGGTCCCGGGGCTTCTCTGAGCCTCGCTTCCCCTCCATGGAAATGGATTGTTGGAGGACACGGCCACGCTGTGTGTGCAGGGCTCCGCTCACCTCTGCTGTGAGGAGAGCTCAGGGGCCTGCAGTCGGTGGGTGGCCTGCCTGGGTTTCCTGGAGAGTGGCAGTGGGTCTGGGCCGGGGTGGGGTGCCTGGTGCTGATGGCAGACTCCCTGGTGCTTCCCTAGGGAAGATGTCACCTACTCCGTGCGGGTGGGGAGCCCCTGGCTCAACAAGAGGGCTCAGACTACGGCCGACGTCCGGGTGCACGAGGTCATCCTGAACAGCCGGTTCCGGTCCCGTCGCTATTGGTCCTGGGTGGGCAAGGCCAACAACATCGCCCTGCTGCAGCTCGAGAGAACGCTCAACTACAGCAAGTACGTCTGGCCCATCTGCCTGCCCGGCCTGGACTACAGGGTGAAGGACTTCTCCCTCTGCACCGTGACGGGCTGGGGGCTCCCCAGGGCGAACGGTGAGTCGCACCTCCAGACCAGGGCGGGGTATGGGAGAGGGCCTGGCACAGCGCGGTCGCCTCGGACAGATGTTTCTGAGACATCATCCCAGGAGCCCCCTGCTCCCGCCTTCCTGTCGGGCTTTTTTAAATTTTATTATGTTTTTATTGATTTCAGAAAGGAAAGGAGAGGGAAAGAGAGATAGAAACATCAATGATGAGAGAGAATCATTAATCGGCTGCCCCCTGCACGCCCCCACTGGGGATTGAGCCTGCAACCTGGGCACGTGCCTGACCGGGAATCGAACCCTTTTCTCCTGGTTCATAGATTGATGCTCAACCACTGAGCCATGCCGGCTGGGCCCTGTCGGGCTCTTCTATCCAAGGTGGCCGAGGGTTTCGGCAGTGAGCACGCCCTGGCCTCCGGCCGTAGGGGCAGAGATGCCCGTGAGCACTCAGGCCGGGCCAGGCGTGTGGACAGGGCTCCCGAGGCAGGAGCGCAGAGCAGGCTCTGCTGTTGGCACAGTTCCCGGGGGGCCGTGCCTTGAAGCAGAACGTCGAGGTGAGAGGAGCAGGCTCTGTGTCTGCGATGAGCTCCCCCGAGGCCCCCGCAGGGCTGGCCAAGGCGGCCTGCACCAGAGTCTGGGAGTCACTCGGGGTCCTCCAGGGGTTCTCAGCCCCATGCCATCCCAATTCAGGAGCAAGGCCCAGAGCAGGAGTGCTGTCCCGGCCCTTCAAGGGTCCATTTCCTTAGGAGCCCAGGAATGCCCTCTCCCTTCAGGCACCTTAGCCTTTCCCACTGGAGGTGCCTCACGGAACCTCCGGGAGCAGCTTGTCGGAAATGGCCACAGGGCTCCAGCCCAGGGGAGGGGCTGGTTTTCTTGTCTTCCCTGCCCCAGCTGTCAATGGCTGGGGATGATCAGAAGTCCCTGTCTCAGGCTATGGACTGACAGGCGGAGGGGAGGGAGGGAGCTGTGCTGGGGACTCGGGGAGGGGCGTTGGGCAAGCTCAGGGGAGGAGCCTCTGAGGAGGGCCTTGGGGTAGAAGGAAGGGCAGAAGCCAAGCTGCTGACGTAGGAATGGACTCAGTGGATGGTAAACTGGTTTACTCTGCGGGAGGTAAACCAGGTCCAGTGAGGCCAGACTGGGAGCCCTGCCCGGGGTCCCTCTCAAGGGGTGCTGAGGGAGGGCGGGCTGGGATGGCAGGTGGGCTGAACCTGGAGATCCCCCCCTCCCTGGCTGCTGTGTGGCCAGCGGAAAAGGCTGGAGGCGTGGTGAGGAGTCGAGGGGGTGGCGACAAGGCAGGTGGCAGCCACCCGCCCCCCCGAATGGGGGCCTGTCCACAGGCACATGGCCGCAGTTCCGGACCATCCGGGAGAAGGAGGTCACGATCCTGAACAGCAGGGAGTGTGAGGACTTCTACCACCGATTCTCCAAAATCCCCTCCCTGGTTCGGATCATCAACTCCCAGATGATCTGTGTGCAGGACACCGACAGGAAGCACTTCTGCTATGTGAGCACCTGCCCCTGCCTTCCAGGCCCTGGGCCAGGACGAGAGGGGGAGGGAGAGGAGGGGAGTGGGGAGGGAATGAGCAGGGGCGATGGAGCAGGAAGATGGGGAGGGAGATGGGATGGAGGAGAGAGATGAGGTCAGGTGGGAGAATGGGGGGTGGGAAGACGGAGGGTGGGTTAAAGGCGGGGGGTGGGAGGTGTGGAGGACTGACCCCAGAGAGCACGGAGATGCACCCTCTGTGGGAGGCCTTCTGGGTCCTGCTTAGCCGGTGACACTCAGGGGTATGGGAAGATCTGTGTGAAGCACCCTGCTCGTCCCTGAGCTGGGCCCCCTCCTTCGGGCCACATCTGGCCTCCCTGAGCCTTCTGTCCTCCCACCTCCCACAGGAGACCAGTGGGGAGCCCCTGTCCTGCCCTGTGCAGGACACATGGTTCCTGGTGGGGATAGTGAGCTGGGTCCCCTCTCCTTCGGGCCACATCTGGCCTCCCTGACCCTTCTGTCCTCCCACCTCCCACAGGAGACCAGTGGGGAGCCCCTGTCCTGCCCTGTGCAGGACACATGGTTCCTGGTGGGGATAGTGAGCTGGGGCCCCTCTCCTTCGGGCCACATCTGGCCTCCCTGACCCTTCTGTCCTCCCACCTCCCACAGGAGACCAGTGGGGAGCCCCTGTCCTGCCCTGTGCAGGACACATGGTTCCTGGTGGGGATAGTGAGCTGGGGCCCCGGCTGCGGCCAGAACGAGGCCCCGCCCATCTACCTGCGCATCTCCACCTACCAGCACTGGATCTGGAAGCGCATCAACGGGCAGGCTCTGCCAACCCCGTCCAGGGCCCTGCTCCTGGCGCTGGCGCTGCCCCTCAGCCTCCTTGCTGCCTGCTGATGCTCCCAGGCCCCCTCATTGCCCTCGTCCAGGACACTGCAGGTCCACTCTCCTGTCCCACCCGGCAGGGCCGAGACAGGTGCTTGATTAAACAGTTCTCTTCCTCACGCAGCCTCCTTCCTGGTCCCAGAGGCCCTCGCTCTCTGGGCTGCTCGCGTGGGAGACGGCTGAACAAGATGGGTGGGGTGGGGGCTCGGGCACTGAAAGGGCAGAGCCCAGGACTGGCCTCTGTCCAGAGTGGGGGGGGTGGCTCCTGCACAAGGTGGGGGAGTGTGTGTAGGGATGACATCGGGGTCAGGCGATGGAGGGCCTGGAATGCCCTGCCCAGGCCGAAGCTGGCGCTGCCGGACTGCGTGAGGCTGGGAGGGGGAGCTGTCGGGCCCGGGGTGGAAGGTATTCGTTCTGTTAATTTAATTGGATTCGGGCTCTTCTTGACCTGGCCCGGCTCCTGGCCGGGGCTAGAACACACCCAGCACTGGGCTCAGACCCTCGAAGGCCTGTGGAAACCAAAGCTGCCCTTTGCTCTTGGTCACCTGACTCCCTCCAGCTCACCCTAATCAGGCTTGGAGAAGCCAGGGGCGGGAAGGTCAGCCGGCCTCTGCCGCTGTCACCTTCACTCCAGATCGGTCGGGGATGGAAGGCGCTCTGCTTTATTTACTAATCTCTGCAGGCCCCCTGGCCCGGAAACCTCTGGAATCTCCTTAGTCCCCAGGCCCGGTGGTTGCCCCGCTGATGCTCCCTGCCCTTCGGAAGCCCCTCCGCATCCCTCATCCCAAGGGCCTTCTCATCAGCAGTGCTTTGGGGCCCTGTTGTTGAGGGTGGGAGAAGAGGCGGCCTCAACCCCCAACAGCCCCCTCAGTGATCCCCTGGGCCCCTGACACCTCCCCGACAGCAGCACAGCCCAAGGGCTCGCGGACTTCTCAGATATTCCTAGAGGGGCCCAGGTAGCAGCCTTCTTCCCTCCTCCCCTGGCCCCCGGCTTCAGCCTCCTGCACCTGTGACTGCTGCAGCCCAGCCCTGAGCCGGGCCTCGTGCTGACCCCCAGCATCCTCTGCTCCGTCACTGAGCGTGAACCAAGTGCATCCTGTTGCCAGGGGCTCAGTCTGCTGGGCCGGGGGTTCTCCTGCTTCTGGCCACCTCTGCCCACCTTGCTGGACCAGAGCCCCTGCTAGGTTTGGGCTGACCCCTCGCCCCAGGATTGCTGTCCAGCAAGGCCTGAGAACTGCCTGCTGCCGCCGCTCCCGGTTGATCGTCCGGTTCACATAGTTCACAGGCCTTTCCGGAGTGATCCCACAGCGTATCACTCCTTTAGCACCACTGCTGTTTCTGGCCAAAGGGGTGAGACAGGCGTGTCTGGGGTGTGAGGCTGCTCTGGATCTGCAGAGGGACAGTGGCCCCAGACCCGCTTTTTTGAGCGGCCACGTGGACATGGTAAAAGGAGCAGAGTCCAGGCTGGGAGGCAGGACACCTGGGTCTGGTCCCAGCCCCTGATTGGCTCATGAAGGAGTGCGGAGTCCAGGATGCCTGGGCCCCAGCCAGGACTTGAGCCCCAGCTGCCACCGCCAGGAAGCTGTCCTCGTGTCTCTCCTCACTTCTTGGCTTCATTCTTCTCATCCTCCTCGACCTTGATAGCCACCGTGTCCACACTGTCCTTTTTCTTCTTCTTCTTCTTGTCATCTGTGGGGTCAAGGGGCGTGCGGCAGGCGTGAGACGGCACCCTAAGGCTCACCCACAGCCTCCACACCCAGCCCTTCACTGCTTTCTTCCCGCCACACCTCTCCCACCTGCACAGTGCCGCTCTGCTCCACCCGCCTCACTCTGACCGGTTTCTGTGTTCTGGTGGCCAGGGATGGAGCTGGGTCCCCCCCTGAACCTACTGGGGGGCAGGCCCGAGGCCCGAGGCCCGGGCTGGCTCCGCAGGGTCGGGTGCTGGCGGGGCAGGGCCCGGCCACTCACCTCCGGGCACCTCTGTGAGCTCGTTAAGGGGCGGCACCGTCTCCAGCTTGTCGGTGTACATCTTGGCTGCCTTCCGCTGCAGGTATCGGGCTTCGATCTCCTTCCGAGTCCGCGGCACACGGCAGTTGAAAACACAGCACAGAGTGATGACTGGAGGGAGGACAGAGAGAGTCATCCTGCTGGGGATCGAGCCCACAACCCAGACACGTGCCCTTGACCGGAATCGAACCAGGGACCCTTCAGGCTGAAGGCCGACGCTCTATGCTCTGAGACAAACAGGCCAGGGCGAGGCTCGCATTGACCAAACCCCGCAGGCCCTGGGATTCTGAAGGGCTCTGCTGACCGGGGCTGGCCACGTGCGTCAGGCACTCGCGAAGGGCCTGGTGCTTGGGCTAGCACTCTGCTCTCGCTGTCGTGAAATTCTTAATGCCTTTTGAACCAGGGGCCTCATATTTCCATCTGGCACCTGCCCTGTCAAGGCTCCTGGTCCCGAGGTCCTCCTGCATAGACGGAGAGTCCCCGGAGGGCAGGGCACATGGCTGCACCTCGACTCAGGCCACGGCTTCCTGGAGGTGCCCTGTGCCGCCACCCAGGCCCCTGGGCTCCGTGTGTCGGGTCAGGGCGTCCTCGGCACTGGAGGATGAGGCTGCACCTCCTCCCCCCTGAGGACGGGCCTGGGCCTCTCCTGGCTGTGAGAGCCGCCAGGGCCCAGCCCTGCCCCGGGCGTTCACCTCAGACCGAGTTATTCCAGGAGCGGGTTTCCTGTGGGGGCGGCGGCGCCCAGGCACCGTGGCCAGGGCACAGCGCTGGCCTGCCTGGCGATGAGCATGGCGGGCAGGGCTGCCCGGACCTGGCTGAACTGAGTTTATTTTTCTGAGGCCCCCACAGTCTGACCACCTCGGGCCCAGCCTCAGGGGAGGGATGGAGCTGCTTCCTATTATAAATCGATGACCAGACATGACCTCTTGGCAGACTCCTGGGGACAGCAGGGCGGGCAGGACAAGCGGGCGTATTTGGGGAAGATGGGTCCGACCGACGTGGCCTGAGCAGGAGTACCTTCTGGAGGTGCCCTGTGCAGCTTCGGCCAAATATCATGGCCCCGTTGAGTCTCACCCGACCCGCAGAAGGAAAGGAAAGAATGAGTGAATGAGTGAATGACAGTCTCAAGGCCTTTGCTGCAGAGGACAAGACTGGCTCTTGAATGAATGGAGGGGGGGCGGGGAGGGGGGCAATCACACGCAGGAGCACTGTGGGGGCTGCATGAGGCCCCAGTGGGTCGGAGTGGCCTCTGCTGTGGGGTAGGCCTGAGCAGACAGAGGCCTTTCTGACCCAGAGAGCTGGGTCCTGGTCTTCTCCAGACCCCTGTGTGTGCCCGGTGCCCAAGGTCGGTCCCTCACCCCAACCCTCCTGGCTTGTGCCATGTCTTCCAGCCACCCAGGCCCTCCTCCGGACCAGGCACGCTTGGGCTGTCCACGTTGGCTCCAGCCTCAGGGGGCGGGAGGGAGCTGCTTCCGGACCAGGAGGCTGGGCTTTAGGGGGAGCACAAAGGGCAACCATTGGAGGCCAGGGCAGGGCTCAGACACTGCCCCTCGCTCCAGGCCGGGCCTGGTCGCTTCTCTTCAAGGGAGGAGAGAAACAAAGGACCTTCGATTGAGTTCCAGGGCCCAGGCCGGAGGAGACCCCTCCCAGAGGCACCCCATCCAATCCCAGTCCTTCACAGGGTCTGGGGGTGATGCCCCAGCAACAGCTGCACCTCCCGGGTTCACGCAGGGGGAGCAGGAGGCTGCTTCCTCCTCGGGACTCGGGCCATCCCTGCTCTCGAGCCTGGAGGAGCAGCGCTGCCCTGCTGCTCGGGCCTGTGGGCCGTCCTCACCCTTTTCTGTGTGGCTGATGTCCAGGTGCCTCTGGGCCTGGCACCGCGACTTTCTTGTGTGGCCACAGGCACCTCTACCACGTGGGGCCGAGCAGAGCCCGGGTCCTCCTGTGGCCCCTGCAGGACAGAGGCCCCCACCTCCATGGACCCCGTCTGTCTGCGGGGCCTGCACCCAGAAGCCGGCCTGGTTCCCAGCCTCCGCTAGGAACGCACACAGCCTCTTGCTCAGATCCTGCCCCACCCAGGCTGTGAAGAAGTGGTGGGTGGGGACATTTTCCCACAGGGAGGGCACTTCTGGTGCCAGGAGAAGCACATGCGAGTCAGATGTCCTTGTCCCCTTGGAGCCCCACGTCTGGGTGTGTCTTACGCTGTCAGCAGGCGCTGCCTCAGGGGACCTCGTCCCGGGACAGCCCCTTAGAACCCGCATGCCGCCCGCCGTACCCGACCCAGGCGCTAGGGGAAAGGTCCGGAGGGTTGTCTGAGACCTCTGCCCACACCACCCCTCCCCTGAGGGCCTCCACGTGCAGCTCAGAGGACTGCGCTCTGGAGCCTTTGCAGCGTGCCCCCCATGCCCTTTGGCCTGTAGGAACCTCCCTCAGGCTCTGCCATGGTGGCCTCCTCCCCCAGCTGGCATTTCTCTGCCCCTCCCCCAACTCTAGACTAGACCCCCCACCAGGAGCATGTCCAGCCCATTTCTATTTCGACTTTGCGTCAAGCAATGCCCCCCCCCCCCCCCAGGAAGGGGTCTCCTGCTTTTAATTGAGATGGGTGTGAGGCATGTGGGGCCATGGAATTTGACAAGCAGGGTTTGCAGCCTGGGAGACACATCTGCTGGGCATCTGGGCCACGCGGGGGTGGCCTTGCTGGGGCCCCTGGGTGTGGGCCCTTTAAGTTGGCTGAACCGCAGGAAAAGCATCAGGAGGCCCGATAGGGAAAAATGACACGTCCCGTCCTGGATCCCGGAGCCCCTGTAATCACCCTAATTGCCATGTGGCTGCTTCCGCGTTGGTTGGGCAGAATGCTTCAGGTCACCACCGCCTGTCCGCCCTCCACAGGGACTTTGTGTGGACGGCGGAGGTGCCAGGAACCACAGCAGGCCTCCCACGGGCGCCTGGCCTGCCTGCATTGCTCGGAATTGCTGCTCTGAGCCCCCGGGTGGTGCCCCCACCGCCCTGTGCTGGGGAGGGCAGGGAGCGGCTACTCACTGATGGACAACAC